GCAGTGTCACCTGGGCTCTGGTTTGATGCCCACAGGACACAACAATTTGCACTCAGGAAAGCAAGGGGTACTTGGGCAGTTCAAAATGTGCTGCATCACACCCTCACAGCTCCACAGCAGCTGTCCATGCCTCCAGAGTCTTAGGAAGAAGCCGAAGCCCTCCAGATGAGCCTGGAGCTCCTCAGTGCCTCCCCATCAGGGGCTCCTGGCTGTCTTGGTCATTACTGGCTCTCCAGCCTCACCATCTCCTCTCACCCGACTCCTTCTGCCCAGAAGCCCCGTCCCTGTGTGGCTGTTTCTCCCCATCCCCAAGCCCCTCCTGGCAATCCACCCTTCTTTACATCTAAGCCACACTGCATTTTGGCACTGAACTTCTAATAGCCACTTAGACACCCATGTTCACATCTTGTATACAAGAATAGCTTGTCCCCCAGCAGGAAGCACCCCCAAGTCAGGACCATATCTCAAACTCATCACAGCTGTTAGTACAGTGCCCTACACAGAAAAGTCCCCAAGTCATTGATTTTCCTGATTTTCCACTAAAGAGTACCATGAGCGACCCACAAGATTAGTTTCCAGGGCCAGAGATGCTCTCTGTGGCCAGGAGACTGGCAGATTCGGTGGCTCTGAAGCCAGGCCCTCTCCCTGCAGCACTGCTGGGAAACTCAGTCCAATCCATGAGTCTTTGGGCATACGGATCTGAAAGTCTCTCCAACAAGTCTCTGATGCAGTAGGTAGGAGACAGTGCTTTAAATTTCATATTAAGGACATCAAGGATATCAAGATCCTAAATTTATCAAAGAACTTTATAGAACAACAAAGACTTCAATCTTCCATTTTCTTTGTCTGGGAAGGTAAATGCTCATTTTTTAGTTGTTCCTTCAGAGGTTCTTTTCCTCATTACTTCTGCACATTCACTGGACACCTATTATGTGAAAAGTTATGCCACAAAGACTCCAAAGAGTAGAACCCAGCACATGGGGAGATAAGATAAAAGTGTGAGGAAATAGCAATCAAGAAAAGATGAAAAAATAACTCAAACTCTATCTTTTTCCCTTGTACTTTGCCTAGTAAGCAAAGGGAGGAAGTTAAAGAACAATCAATCAGAATTTCCCTCCACTTTGCCGACTCTGGTGGGACATGATATGGTGGCCCTTTTGGCCCAGGGACACTAATGGATGCTGTGGGTATTTTGCTGCCTACCTCCCAGAAGCCTCCTCCCTCCCATGTATAGCAGCTGATCCTCCCCCTTCTTCCTCTAGGTCTCTATCCCTGAGTCTGAGAATGGAGTTTGTGACACTGGCTCAGCCCATCACAGCACAGCCTTCCCCTGTGTCACTACAGATTGGTCCAAAGATGGGTACGAGTACTAAGTTAGTCCAGTCAGAATGACTCGCAGGACTTTTTGCTGGAGCTTCTAGGAAAATTCCCCTACTCCTTCTTGTTGCAAGTACTGGGGGCCTGAGAAGGCAGAGCTGCTGATGGCACTGAAGCTACCATGCCATCTAGAGGAGGGAGCTGGGGGCTGCTAAGGGCCACCCTGGGACGCACCCGTAAAATGAAGCCCAAACAGCAGAAGGCAGACTGGAATGAAACCAATGCCTAATGATCTCATTTGGACCCTGAGTCCTGTCATATCTGCTGCCAGAACTACTCCTGGACTTTCCATTTACATCAGCCAATGAATTCCTTGTTTTACCTAAGTCAATAGGCTTCATTGAGTAACTTTCTGTTACTTCCAGAGAGCAGTCCAGCTGATTTATATCAGCACCGGGGCCACAAAGCATGCAGTACTGTGTAGTTGAAATATGCTTTAAGCACTCTCACTTAGGCTGCCCCGCGTGACCTTCACAACGACTGCAAGGCAGTGTGACTGGGGGCAGAAACTACTACAGATCAGAAAACAACGTGTCCTACATCCTGCTCCTTAAAGTGTGCTCAGGGACCAAGGACATCAGCACCACCTGGGAACTTGTTAGAAGCGCAGAATGGAAGCGCTGTCCCACACCTGCTCCATGGGAATGCATTTTAACAAGAACTGCATGGAATCTGCATTTTTTGTTGGAACACTATCTGTGCAGCTTCCCGGCTCCCACACTAAACAAATCACCTAATTTCTCTTCTTTTCATGTGGAGAATGGCATTGATAACAGCACAATGCAACAATGCAGATGTAACACAAAACTAAAAGAGTCCTAAGCTTTAATCATAACTCTTCAGTAGAAATGACCTTGGACAAGTTACTAAACTTCTATTAGCCTTGCAGTTTCTTCATCCATAAAACTGAGATAATAATACCTGTCTGACAGGACTGATGTCAGAACTCAGGCACATAATACATGTAAAGTGCTTAGTGCACAACCTGCCCCAGTGTACCAGGGCTCAGTTAAAAGTACGTGTTACTGCGGCACTCTTATAATTAAGCTTATTATCCACCCTGCACTCTTCACAGGGCAGTGTGATCACGAGTCCCAAAAGACAAATGAAAAACAAAATTGCTTGCCTAAAACAAAAGAACGCAAGGCCAAGCCCTTAACTGATCGGGATGTAGAGGTTCACAGAGGTGAAGCGACTTGTCTGAGCACATCACAGCTGGAAGGATGGAGCCAAGGCTGGCACGAGCACCTTCAGATGCAGCCCAGCTCAGGTGGCTGTTGGTGGCTCTTGTGTGCAGGTCTTTCCACGCCCCGCCTTCACTCCTCCTCGGATAGCTCCATCCAAGGCCACAGCGCCTGGCCCAGCCCCCACTGCAGTGCGCACTCAGAGAGGATCTGCTGAATGCAAACTGGACCATCTGACTTCTTTCACCCTAGTATTTGCACCACCCAAACTCCCTGCCTGGGTAGGAGATTATCTGGCCTGGTACTTTAACAAACTGACCATTGCTGTTAATCCTAATTAGAAATTTAGGACAGCATCTCATTGGGAGACTTAAAAATCCACTAGAAACTGAGTAAAGGTATTCAATTCCAGCCCTCAGGGGAGAGTTCAGAATAGCAATTGGCTGAGTACAGAGCAGAGCAGAACATTTTACTTGTCTGACACTTTCATTAGGAAAAAAATGCTGGGTTCTGCAGAAAGCAGGATTGTTGGCAAAAGAACTTCCAGGACCATAATGCAAGCAAAGCAGAATCAGAGCCGGGCAACTGGTTGACATATCCCTGAGCAATCTGCATAGTTAGACTTGTCACAGTGCGAGTTCTAGCTAGAAACAACCATTGAGCTTTGTCTACTGACTTCAACCTTAAAGATTAAGAGCCAGTAAAGGGTTGTGAGTCTTGAACAAAACAGACTCTAAGTACACACAGAATGGGCTGAAATGAACCTCTTTTCAAACAGGGCCACATCAAGCATAAAGTAAGTGGGTAAATGTGCACACAAATGTGGCATTGATTGTAGTAAGTATAAATGAACTAAGTGTTTCTGGGTAAGAGATTTCTGTAAATCAGTAAGATAATAAAATGAAAAAAAAAAAAAAAAGCATGGGCAGCTGACTTGAAAGAAACTTCCTGGGGCTGGGGAGATGGCTCAGTGGAATAAGCGCTTCCCTGGCAAGCACAAGGGCC